TGTCATCCTTGTGCAGGGGCCATTTCGCAGCCAGGAGGCTGCGCTATACCGGTTGCATTTTGTCGCGTAGCGAGGACGTCTTTTTCAGGAAATGTCGACGACGGCGAAAGGGGTTTATAGGGTGGTAAGATGGGTAATTGAAAGGTGCGGTCGCTGTCGGGGCAGAGACTGGTAGGCCGGGTGGTCGCGAGTGCGGTTGGAGGGGGGCAGACCAGCGGTCACGAAAAGCGGTCGGCGGGCCGTTTTCATGGACGGCGCCCGGTTTTCCATTTCGGGCGATATCGCGCGAGGGTGCGATTTTTGGAAGGCCGGGCCGAAGTGGGTTCGGAGGTGTGCAGAGCAGGCAGTCGGGGTGTTCGTATTCGTAAAACGAAAAAAAACACTAGCAGCAGTGAGTTCCCTCAGCACCCGAATCTGGACGTGTTTGTGGAGATGTGCGGTTGAGGAAACTCAACGTGGTTTCCTGCACATCTCAACAAACACGTCCAGATTTGGGCACCGAGGAAACTCAACGCTGCCGGTGTATCATTCAGCCATCGGCCCCGCCACATGGGCAGGGGTCATCTTGTTTTTTTTCCCTTTTTTTTTGGGTCTAAATCTTGGTTATTCGAGCAACAACGGAACTGATTCTGGGGAGGGTGTGAACTACCTCCTTCCCCCGAACACAACGCACCCGCATTTGGCTGCATCTTACAGGAAAGATCGCTTGTATGCATTGGTTATTAGGGTGTGTTGTGTTCGGGGGACGACAGTAGGGAAGGCCGATGATTGGCCGGACAGGTCGGGACCGGGACCACCAATGCCCTGAGACTGAGATAAGGGCGTAGACGTATTCGGACTTTCTTCGGGTGCATGTGACCGTACTCACCGCTAAGTACAAGTGCCGTCGACAAAGTGCAAGCAAGAGTGAGGCCGGTCTCGCTCCCGAGTGGCTGCGCTTCCACGCTTGCGCGGCACAGTCTTGTCTAGGGGCTGGCTCACCACATGCACAAAACACAAAAGATATGGCAGTGTATCTTCCCACGTTTTGGCAAAAGCGTCATTCCTTTTTTCCCTTTTTTTCACAAGAACGTCACGGTGGAGGGGTTACAACGACTGGGGTTGACAGGAGCATGCCCCATTTGTAGGACTGAGGCGTAGGTGGCTCCTTTCTATTGGTGCGGAGCTACACCTGCTGGAAAGGGGTTCAGCCTTCCAGTTTTGGACATTTGGCGAGCAGTGGCGCGAGGCCCCCCTTCGCTGTATGTTTGAATTTTTTTTTCAACTGATATATGGGTCTTTTTCAACGGATATATGGGTCTTGCGCGATCACGTTTTAGGTTTAGGGCATGGCCACACCACTCTCAAAATGTGTAAAATGAGAATGAACTTCGCGCTAGAACATGGCCAGATGCGCCCGCCACATTTTTGTCTTTTTCACATTTCGAGAGTGGTGTGGCGAGGCCCTTAGGGTGGGTACCCTTCCCTCCCTTCAGTCCCCACAACAATAAACCCTCCTTCCTTCCTCCTTCGCTGTCCTGGGGCCATGTCGCACTTCTCTCGAGGCCCTTTGTTCTTTTTTTTTTATATATATATTTTGAGGCCCTTTGTTCTGGTTCCGAGTGTACGTGGATGGCTCCTCGCCATCTGATCTGAAAATCTCACGGCCCTACTACCCTCTTCCCCCGAACACAACGCACCCTCATTCTGAGTGTATCTGGCCGGAAACATAACTTGTGTACGTTCCTTTTCGGGGTGCGTTATGTTCGGGGGAAGAGGGTAGTCGTGTGACCACGTTGGAAAATACACGAAACATAAACTAAACCCCCGATGTGGGTCAAGGTCCCTCGACGACCCCGCCGTCCATGTACATACAAAAAATTTGTGAAGCAGTTTTATGGACGTCGAACGAGTTCCAGTGGGCCTAGTTCAAAACAAATTTTACTTTATAATGAAGAAATTCTAGTAGCTTTTAGTTTTGTGGGTTTTGTTTTATTCGCCGCACCCGCCACCAAATGTGCATGCAAAACCAGAATCAGACTGAATCCACTGCTACAACGTGGAAAGATACACGGCCACAATTTCATCTTCTCCAGATCTGTTGAGTTGTGCGGCGATAAATATAAAAGGCAAGGCAGAGAGAAGAGAGGGGGGCCAGGTTTGTTCGGCTTTTTTTTTTCTTTCTTTATTCTTTTTTAGGGGTGATCACAACTGTCTATACTCTTCTCTCAACTTCTGTTCGTTTGCCTTCCACTACCTACTCCTAAGACTATCTAGAGGGGACCCCTGCAAGCATAGTTTTCCTCTCTCTGTGAAGTGGAGATTTCATGTTGCCCCTTGCCCCTAATGGTTAGGGTATAGGGTTGGGGCCTTGCGGTTACTCTTTTTTTTTTTTTTTTTTTTGGACCGTTTCTCAATTTATGGGGGTCAACCTTGAAAGCGCAGGGGCCATGCTGATCTACCTTTCTCTGTATCGTTCCAATTTTAATGGATGTCCCGAAGGACTGGCTCTTTTTTTTGTTCCCAGGGTTGGGAATTGTCAGCGCAGCGGTCCCGATTTGGCCCTATTCTGCGACAATGCCTGCACATGAGCTGGGAAATGTCAGCGCAATCCTGATTTGGCCATATTCTGTTTGTGAAGGGATTCCCGGCCCCCCCCTTTTTGTGTGTAATAAAAGAGCAACATTTCTTTTTTTTTTCAAAAGAGAGGGGAGCAAAAGTGCGAGAGAGAGAGAGAGAGAGAGAGAGAGAGAGGAACACCCAGGCAAGAGAGAGAGAGAGAGAGAGAGAGAGAGAGAGAGAGAGAGAGAGAGAGAGA